TTGATACCTCCGTCGATACATAATATTTAAAATAGTTTTCACTGTTTGATTTTTACAGGATCTTTGGATTTGTTTGATATGCGGCAACGTCGGCTGCGGTCGCTACGCTGATGGACACGCTGAACAGTACGTAATATTGGCGCATTCTTTAAACATCGCTGTATTTCAGACACTTTCAAGAAACGCAGCACACGTTTTCGCTCGAAGTCGGCGGTCAGCGAGTATGGGACTATGCGGGGGACAACTACGTTCATCGTCTGGTGCAGAGCAAGACCGACGGCAAGGTGGTCGAATACATGCATCCACAACAAACAGCCGATGACGTATGGCGACAGGGTGACGGTGATTTCCTCGCCTATAATTAAATGTTTAGTTAGAAAACGTCGAAAAGGTAGAGGCGATCACTTTAGAGTACTCGTACCTTTTGACGAATCAGTTGGAATCACAGCGCATCTACTTTGAGAACAAGTTGGCGATGACTCAACAAATGGCGAACAGTGAGGTAGATGATGTGTTATTGATTGACCTTGCGAAAGATACACTGTTTTTATCGGCCATGACTTTCATATTCGGCATATTATTTTACTTTAATAAATTAAAAATAAATTTTTTATGACATCTGTTGCCAATAATGGCGAAAACGGAATTTTTCCCAAGAAGGTACTACATATTGCAGACAACGTTCTTTAGAAAATTATTCCATTAACCTTCGTCCTCTTTACGCAGGAAGACAGTATTGCTTATTTTTTTCACACCCCTTTTACGATTTCTTGCAGTCAGCGTAGCGAATACAATGTTCTTTTCTGTTTTCTAATTGTCTGTATTTCTTCTGGCCCTCTACCAGGCTAGGTAGCCTTGACGCGTTGTAGTACTGTTTTTTTGACTGTCAGCATTCATTCTCAGCACGTGTTAAAAACCATGATCAGCGGTTTTTGATCCACTGTCGGATGTAAACTTCTCAACGACTTTGCTACAGACTTGCGTTCTGTGAAAATAGAAGTTTATGGCAAAGTTTTTGAGAGGCCATCATTAAGCGAAGGATCGAAAAAGGCTGCTAATGATGAAAACTCCGTAGTGTTTCACACCCGCTATGTTAGACGCGTCTCACATCATTCTTGCCAGTTTGGAAGCGGTATGGATGAATTACTTACGAAGCTGATTTGCTGCTCGTTGTTTTCCGTGTGCTCTGTGAAGATTCACCTCGTGTCTTTATTTTTTCTGATTTATGGAAATTCTGACAAAAACAAATCTCAGAACTCATTAAACTTTCTGCATTAAATGCCGACGATCTCTTAGGATTGATTTCTGTTTTCTGTAGACGGATTTTTTCGGCGTTTAGTAGAGCGTAAGAACTTTCTTAGCCTATGTTAAACACTGCGTAACTGCAGTGAAGGCATCCGTTATGGCAAGAGTGGAAGACTTGATGGAAATGCTGTCATAAAGAGTTTATACCTAGGGCTCAAACCATCATACATGCGGAATGCTCCTGAAAATTCTTGCTTACAAATGGTGCCAGTATACCTGTCCTGCAGTAATGGACCCATATTCTGCATGGTACCATCACGAACGGCATAGCAAAAAAGCGTTGAAACGGAAAGGACGTAGAAGTAAAGTCATTGCAGCAGCTAATGATTTATAGATTTCAAACATTTTTTTAGTTCATTGTCATTCGCTGTAACTCAAGAAACAGTTTAGGACAGGTGTCGCTATCTAAAACTGTGTGTTTTTTGACTCGTTGATCCATACTTCTTGCCGTTCGCTCGCTTCACAAATTGAACTCATTCTTCTCGTTGTTCATTACGTTCCTATTGGCTTTTGAGGCGTTAAACTCACGTTGATACACTCTGGTGTATGAATCCGTTGTTTTTAGTGTTTATGCGATAGAAATCAAAATTGGGGTTATCAAATACCAGGTGGGCCAAAGCGAAGTGCGGCCGCAAAGGGTGCTCGAATCAGACAGCATTACCTTAAGCCTCGTCCATTCTACCATGACCATTTCAGAATGTCATACCATGCCCATTTATTATTTGTGACTGACCGATTGACTACCCGTTTCTGAACTTGTGGCAGCGGGTCAACGTGAGGTTAATTGTTTGCTCAAGGGAATTCGCGATTAAGACCAAGGTTGTGCCTTAGGCGGATTTGAATCCGGCACCTCCGGAGTTCAGAGCCGACCAGTTAGGCACTATGTGCCTCGTGCCTAATAACTTTCCTCCCAAAACGTCCTGGTGAGTAAAAGATTGTAATATCGAATGAAAGAAATTAAAAATGTATCTAGCATTGCAAAGACTATGGCGTCGCGAGACCTTAGCCTGGCTAACTGGTTCCCTAAGCAATTAGCAGCAGTCTCTGTGCAATATGCTGAAAAATCTCATATTGGATGAGTCAAGCACTAATTAGCATACTTAAACGTAAGAATACATACTTTAATCTTGATACCATGGCGATGATTTTGAAATGTTGCGAGGAAAGTCTAACACTGCAGGTGCTCAAATGCTATGGAGCCGTAGTCTACCTGAGCGACGGAGTGCGATGGAAAACTGACTGACAGAGAGATCGACTTTGAACTCAAAAAGTGTCATGTTCGAATCTATCAAATGCCTTAACCGGGAGTCTTCTTGCGCAAAAAAATACCTCACTTTTTTTGATGCAATCAGCTAAGAAACACATGGCAGGTCCTTGACTTTAGAACAGTAGGGATAGCATGGTGTTCTGATATGATCATACAAGAAAGAACGAGTGATACGGTTGTGGTGTTTGATGCAGGCGCCTCATAGGGTTGTAAATTCGCCTTGTTCCATACGACCG